GTTTAATTAGTTTGGATAGGGGTTTGTCGATCTTGTTGATTTTCTCCAAGAACCAACTTTTTGTTTCATTGATTCTTTGTACTGTTTTCTGTGTTTCTATTTTGTTGATTTCCGCCCTCAGTTTGATTATTTCCAGTCTTCTGTGGGCGTGTCTGCTTCTTTTTTTTCTAAGGCTTTCAGGTGTGCTGTTAAGTCCCCGACGTATGCTTTCTCCTTTTTCTTTAAGTGGGCACTTAGTGCTATGAACTTTCCTCTTAGCACTGCTTTCATCGTGTCCCATAGGTTTGAGTATGTTGTCTCTTTATTTTGATTAAATTCAAGGAAGATTTTAATTTCTTTCTTAAATTGAGAAGATCTTCACCAACCCCGCAACTGACAAAGGTCTGATCTCCAAAATATATAAAGAACTCAAGTAACCAGACCGTAAAAATCTAATCAACCCAATTATAAAATGGGGCACTGAGCTGAACAGAGAATTCTCAACAGAAGAAGTTCAAATGGCCAAAAGACACTTAAGGTCATGCTCAACTTCCTTAGCGATCAGGGAAATGCAAATCAAGACAACTTTAAGATACCATCTTACACCTGTCAGAATGGCTAAAATAAAAAACATCAATGATAGCCTTTGCTGGAGAGGTTGTGGAGAAAGGGGTACACTCATCCATTGCTGGTGGGAATGCAAACTTGTGCAACCACTTTGGAAAGCAGTGTGGCGGTTTCTCAGGAAATTCGGGATCAACCTACCCCTGGACCCAGCAATACCACTCTTGGGAATATACCCAAGAGAGGCCTTATCATACAACAAAAGTATATGCTCTACTATGTTCATAGCAGCATTGTTTGTAATAGCCAGAACCTGGAAACAACCTAGATGCCCTTCAATGGAAGAATGGATGAAGAAAGTATGGAATGTATACATATTAGAGTACTACTCAGCAGTAAAAAACAAGGACTTCTTTAATTTTGCATACAAATGGATGGAAATAGAAAACACTATCCTGAGTGAGGTAAGCCAGACCCAAAAAGAGGAACATGGGATGTACTCACTCATATTTGGTTTCTAGCCATAAACAAAGGACATTGAGCCTATAATTAATGATCCTAGAGAAGCTAAATAAGGAGAACACAAAGAAAAACATATAGGCATCCTCCTGAATATTAACCTTCATCAGGCGATGAAAGGAGACGGAGACCCAATTTGGAGCACCGGACAGAAATCTCAAGGTCCAAATCAGGAGCAGAAGGAGAGAGAGTACAAGCATGGAACTCAGGACCGCGAGGGGTACACCCACACTGAGACAATGGGGATGTACTATCGGGAACACACCAAGGCCAGCTGGCCTGGGTCTGAAAAAACCTGGGATAAAATCAGACTAGCTGACATAGCGGACAATGAGGACTACTGAGAACTCAAGAACAATGGCAATGGGTTTTTGATCCTACTGCACGTACTGGCTTTGTGGGAGCCTAGGCAGTTTGGATGCTCACCTTACTAGACTTGGATGGAGGTGGGTGGTCCTGGGACTTCCCACAGGGCAGGGAACCCTGATAGCCTACGGGCTAACAAGGTAGGGGAACTTGATTGGGGGAGGGGGAGGGAAATGGTAGGTGGTGGCCTGGAATGACAGAAATCTTTAATAAATAAAAAATTGGAAAAAAAAATAAGATAAACACTTCAGGGAGGTCAGAAACGGCAGAGAACTCCCCTAAACCCAAACAGCCGAATGGCAAGGTACACAGGCACAACTGTGCCTACCAGACCAGATTAAATACTCTGTAAAGTTGACTGCCCTTGGCCTAGCAGATTTGGTTTTTGTTGTTAGTGTAGGACAATATCTCACTATGCATCCCGAGCTGACCTAGAACTCACTATAAAGACAAGACTGGCCTCAAACTCAGAGATCTACCTGCCTCAGCTTCCTGAGTGCTGGGATTTCAGGCATGAGCTTATCATGGCTGGCCATAGCAGAGTTTTAAAATGGGGTCTGCAAACTACTACGTCTCAAAATAAAGCCCAGAACTCAAAAAAAAAAAAGAGGCAAAGTTCCCCAGACTCCAGATATTCATCAACATAATAATGTCAATTATCCAGTCAAAAAAATATTTTTGACCTATAACCAGAAAAACAAAATTAGTTCAAAAGACGATTCAAAAGTGGCAGAATAGCAAATGCATGCAAATAGCAATTAGATCCCTGTGTATGTGCTTAAAGGGAAACACAAAGGTGTGAGAAGAAGGAAGCATCAAAAACCAAAGGAGGGCTATGGCCTCTGCACTTCAGGGTGCTTTTCTAGGCTGCACAGACCTCCTGCATTACATCCCCAGCAACAGGATCCAAACATAGTGATAAACAGCATTCGAGAGGAAAAGGTCGAGGTTCTGAGGAAGTTCAAGGTCATCCTCAGTCACACATAAGTTCAAGGACAGCTTGGAAATCATAGTGAGACTCTGTCTTTTTTTAAAAAAAAATGCTTTTTTTTTATTTAATTTCTTATTGTGTATATGTAGATATGGTAGAAGTGAGTACCACAGTGCATGAAGGTCAAGGGAACACTGAGGCATCAGTTCTCTACTTCCACCTTTACATGAATTCTAGGTATGGAACTCATGTCATCAGATATGCAACAAGCATTCTACATACTGAGTCATCTCTCCACACCACCCAAAAAATGTTTTTTTTTTATTCAGGAGATAAACAAGATAACATTTTCCACTGGAATGTTTATAACTAGAAGACAGGCAATAATACACACTGGGGCTAAAGGGCTGGCTCAGAATTTAAGAGCACTTGCTGCTCTTTCAGAGGGACCAGGTTCAACTCCCAACAACCATAAATTAGCTCAAAACCATCTTTAACTCCAGTCCCAGTGGATCCAAAGCTTTCCATGTGGTTCACAAACACACATGTAGGAAAAATACTCATATGTATAAAATAATAAAATAAATAAATTTAATAAATCTGAAAGTTTTAAATAATAATAAGCATTATCATGTGATGATGTTAGGTAGATTAAAACGATGCAGCTGCTTTGAGTAGTGAAGCAGTTTCACTAAACAGTAGAACACTGAACTATAGCAAGACCTAGCAATTCCATTCAGAGGTATATTCCCAAGAGAATTTAGGGAGTTTAAGACCATGTAAAAACTTACAAGTAGCTATATAGCTTTATTCATCGTAACTTAAAGTGAAAATAACCCAAACGTTTGTCTAATAATGACAAAACAAAATGCAGTCCATCCACACAGTGGAAAAGCACCCCATAAAAAAGAGTGAAGTACTGATTCACACGAAGGCATAGCTGACTCCTGAAAACACTGTAAGAGAGAGAATCAGATGTAGAAGACCGCATACTGTGTGCCCCCTTTATACGAGGTATTCACAATATGCAAACATACAGATATAAAGTAAAGTAGTGGCTGCTCAGTCTAAGGGAAGGAAAAACGGGATCAAGGTTTATTTGAGGTGACTGACATGTTCTACAGTCAGGAAGTGAAGATAGTGACAGCCTTGCAAATACTCTAAAACAACACTAAGTTGTACTCATAAAATGGTGACTACAAAAAACAATTATCTAATATTTAAATTATTTAATTTTTATTTTATTTTACATATTTATTTTAAATAAATTTAAATTTAAAATAAATTTTTAAAATAAATTTAATTTTTTTAATAAATAAAGAATTTACAGCTATTATCACACTAACCCAAAAAAGAGATGGCAATGAATTCAGGTCTATATAAAGAAAAAAGAGTGCCAGAATCACTTAAAATATATAAAGGAAGATTTTTTTCATTTTACTTTTAAAATATTTTAATTTAAAAGTTTGTAGCAAAAATGCAAGTGTATTATAGGCACTATGCCATATTCTGAAATAAGAGCAATGACAACAATAACACCAAGGAAGTGAGGTTAAGCAGAGATATAGGTTTAAATTTTTAATTGACAAGCAATAATTACATATAAGCATGGGGTACAGTGAGATAATTTCATGTATACAACAGATAATGATTTAATCTATAAAACATTTCCATTTAAATATGCATTACTATTAAAAGAACTTTGCAGGGGCTGGAGAGATGGCTCAGAGGTTAAGAGCATTGCCTGCTCTTCCAAAGGTCCTGAGTTCAATTCCCAGCAACCACATGGTGGCTCAGAGCCATCTGTAATGGGGTCTGCTGCCCTCTTCTGGCCTGCAGGCATACACGCAGGATATTGTATACATAATAAATAAACAAACAAACAAATAAATAAATAAATGAACTTTGCATAATGTATGGTTTGCCATAATTTTTTCAAGATTCACTATGAGTTAAAAAGGATTATTATAAGCTTAGAAGCAATCATTTTAAAGAAATAAAGAGGTATGGATTTAAGGCATTAGTGAATACACGATAGAATCCAAATATCTAGTGAACTGATTGAGACGAAAGGAGATACAGAGAGAAAGAACAAGGAACAGTGAAGACAAATGGAAAATAAGGTAGACTGAAAATCATATACAGATATACTGTATATGATAAGTATATACATAAACTGATAAGTCTATCAGTCATAAAAGATCTAAGGATCTCAACTAAAAAACAGATTGTCCCTTTAAAAAAAATAGCGAGATCAAGCCATGCATGGTAACATACACTGACAATCTCTTATCTCCAAAACATAAAAAAAAAAAGAAGACAAAAAACAATAATAAGCCTATACCCCTCAAACCTAATGAGGTTATAGAAGTCAAGGAAAGACTGAGGACAGCTCAAGGGGCAAGTAGGGAGTTCAGAGAGCACTTGTTGCTCTCACAAAGGACCTACATTCAGCCTCCAGCATCCCCATCAGACAACACACAAATGCCTTAACTCCAGCTCCAGAGAATCCAATGCCTTTTTCTGGTCTCTGTGAACACCCTCACGCACATAGCAAACACACGGAAACGCACACACATACACATAAATAAATAAGAAAACAAATCTCTTTTAACTGTTCAACTTAAAAAAAAAATCTTACCTTTTGGTTTTCATCTGGTCCCTCAGTTTGCTGTACATCTCTAGGACTTGAAAGAGAAAACAGATCACACAGGTATCATTTAAGCAAAATAACTAACTCAGGTAAAGGAAATACATCAAGAATCCTACTCCACTCCCAGTTTCTCACCTGGAAGGCACAGCATTAACTTATCAACAGTTGCAGAAATATTCCTCTGTTGTAGTCTACACTGCTTCAGCTCTTCCATTGCTATTACCAGCTTGACAAAAGGGGAAAAATAGAATTATGTCAAGAACTATAAAAAGAAAAAAAAGTTTTCAGTTACATGTCCTACTCTGCATGCAATGCATCCAAGAATGTCAGTTTCCTAGTAAAACCTACAATGCAAGCTAAGGAACTGTCTTCTTCAATCAGTGAAACATTCCTACTTTCTCCCCACCCTGCACACATGTCTAAAAAGGGCTATGTAAAATAAACCTTAAAGAGCCTTAAAGTACAAAGGCCATCCAGAAAAAAAAAATCTTCCCATTGTCTCCAAACCCTATACAAACTCCATGATTTACATTTCTAGGCAGTCCTTCTAATCCTCAACTAGGTCCCGATTTTAACAAGCAAGTTCCATAATTAGAAGATATGGCTTTTGTACACGATTCAGTTTACTGAAGATCAATTTATTATCTTCTCATAATCATCTCACAATGTAACAAACTATTTCTGTAGAATATGGACTATGTGAAATGAAAAAAAAATCTACCTATTTACAGAATCCATCTCACACACACACACACACACACATACACGCACACACACACACACACACACACACACACACACATTATCTCCTTAGATATGTGAAAAGAATAAAGAGAAGGAAGGTGGATGACCCAAAACAGGAATGTACTTCAGGTCAGAAAAGGTTGACTTTGTGCTCAGATTTGTTTTGATTATTAACATAAATTTCAGATCATCTGTTCTTTTTTCCCCCATCAGTAAAATAGTGGAATTAACAGACTTGGATTTGGAACAAATAAATAAATGGAAGTAAATAAAAGTACAAATTGGAAAGTTTAAATAAGTTTATCCATTAATAGAATAAATGATTCGTTTTTAAAGAAATATTTGTTGAGCACTCATTTTACAACAGCTGCTGTTTAGAGACAGAAGAGATGCAATAATGAATAAAATAAGTAAAATTCCCTAATGATATAGAACTAATTCTAATGGGGGGAGACAAACAAAAACTACATAAGTAAAAAATGTAAACCAAAAATAGGATAGTACAGTGGAGAAAAACAGAATGAGACAAAACAAAAAGAATGCAGAGAATGAGGCTGAGACTGCAATTTCCAATAAGTCCACAAGCCTATAACCACAGGACTCCAGAGACTGAGGCAGGAGGATCATTTTAAGTTCAAGGTTAGCCTACATTAAAGAGTGAGTTCGAGGCTAGCCTGGGCAACATAGTAATAATACCCGGTTTCAAAAAAGATACAGATTTTTAGAATATTATCAGACATGAAATAAATAAAATAATTATAACAAAAAAGGAAGAAAGAGAGAGAAAAAGAGAGTGAGACAGAACGAAAGAAGGAAGGAAGAAGAGAGAGACAGAGACAGAGAGAGCAGAGAGAAAGAGAGTAATACAAACCAGGTATGGTGGCTTATGCCAGTAATCTCAACATTGGGAAAGTGGAGGTAGAAGGATCAGTTCAAAGAAAGTTTAAATTACATGAAATCCTTACTGAAAAAAAGAAAGAACTATAAGAGAAAAGGACGAAGGCAGGTGATGATGCAAGAGGAACATTCCAAGAGACATGGCAGACTACGCAAGGATTTCTTTTAACACAGCCAAGGGAGGTTGCATCTTATTTCATTGCACCCTGTGGTGTCTGTATTTATTCAGGTAAACATTTCTTATAGCAACAATTCCAACAAACTGCTTATATTATTCTAAGCCACAAAGTGAAGAACAGTCATTCAAAGAGAATAGCATAAACAGAAAAAACCTTGTTAAAAGGAAACTGGCCTTACTTCCTTGCCCTCATGTTGCAGCTTTCTATTAGTATCCGTCACTTGGTTCTGTGGAGAGAAGATAATTTAAACTCATAAAAACAAACACTAGGACAACAGTTGGATAAAGATCAAAATTTAATATGAAAAACTGGAGTATCCCTAGATACTTTCTATATTCCAGCACATGGGGTTACAGCTGATCTCTCTGCAACTTAAACTCGTTATCAACCTTTCTTCTAGGCATTCCCATGACCTTCTGCAAATAAAAAGAAAAGCTGACCAAGAGACATGTTTGGTTTAGATAGAACACAAAGTAAGATACTATAGTGTCCCAAGATCATATTTTAACTTTGGAGAGAAGAGGAAAAAATAAAAACGGAGAAATAAATAAAATGGAAAGTAATCCAAAGAGCTTTACCATCGGTACAATGTCTAGAAAACAATGTTAACACAGACATGTCTTAATTCACAATGTATTCCTGAAAAGGCTAGGTATAATTTCAACTTTGTAACACAAGTCAAATTTGTATTAGTTATTACCTTAATTCTACAAAAAGAATTATTTAATATTTTGGGGTCATTAATTCATAACAGTTTCTAATACATCCATATCCTCATTAATCCCACCATCAGACAGTCAAAAAATATGTGGCTAAGCCTTAAATGAGCTATGATTTATAATTTAAAGGAACAAGCACAAATCTTTTCAATTATCTACTTTTGATGTTTCCACTAATATAAAAAATAATTTTTAGAATAGTAATTTATAATCTCAGACATTATCAAAACATAGATTATATTAACTTCTAAACTTCTTAAATTAGAGACTATCCAGCTTCTGCTGGTGACTGCTGTTCCTTATACTTTTACTGCATTCATCAACCCAGCATTTCTTACAATGTCCCTTAGAGCATCAAGAAATGTTAGCTGGTGTTATTAACATATAGGCACACATGCACTGCATATATACACACACAGAGGAGAAAAACACTATAAATGATCAGAAAAGGGACACAATATGGAATGTTTACAAACTTATTTGATTCAACATTATCTCCAAAAACTAACTTTTCATAAAACACATTTTTTTAAATTCTTATCTAAAATTATACACTATACTTGGATAATGTAGTTCACAGCAGATTAGCGCATATACCTCCTACTTTCAAAGACAAAATAAAATCTGATCTCTTCAAGAAAAAGTTTATAAAATCTGAGAAAAAAAGGCAATAAATACTCATATTACCTATTTATTATTTTCCTAAGAGCACCATATGTGAAAAATACCATTAACCAATAGACTGTTAGCTCAGTGAGAGGCAAGATAGAATGTAGCTGCCAAATGCTAAGCTAAGGCAATCACTGAAGCATCACCTCAATAGGGCCAGCAATCTGTTTCTGTTACAGTAAAACAGAAAATGTTTTCAGTTTGTCAGGCCATAGAGTCTCTGTAGTAGCTAATCAACACTGACAGGAAGGTAGCCATAAATAAAATATCATGTGCTGGGGTGGCTAGGTCCCAATAAAACTTTATTTACAACAATAAGAGGCAAAATGGATTTGGTCTACAAGCCAGAGCTACTGTTCCCAGCTGCTCTGCTCTAAAGTAAGAGCAGATCAAATGATGAGAATGACGTCAGATGTCATGTGTCAGGAAGGCCACTGACAAACTGCAGCATGATTAAGTGTAAATAAGGTTTAGGGGCCAACTGTGTATCACATGAAAAACAAATGAAGTTATTTCATCTCATAGATAAAGGAAAACTCCATTGGAGACACTACACACTATACCTGGACCCTGTACACTTCACCCTACACCTAAACAATGGCTGCCTCAAATATCTTTAAGAGCTGGAAGAAGAAAGGCTGCTCCTAATAAATGCCTGTAACCAGAAAATAGGATTTAGCTCAAAGTAATAGAAGGGTTTCAAACAATGTGAATAAAAATGGTACAGTTATAATCAATGACAGCATTATCACCTTTAAAGTACTTATTCAATAATAAATTAGATAATTTTATTCTATTCTAGAGATCTCCCAAAATTAAAATTTTCAGTATAACTACATTCACCACTATTGCTCATACTAAAATAATCTTGTTCACTTCATCATTTCTCACTCTTTCTAACCTCAAACTAACATTTTTACATTAAGCCTCAGAAATACAGACACATACACAAAGACAGCAGAGACACACATGTAGACAGAGACATACACACAGAAAGAAACATACACCGGAGGTACCCAGAGACTCATATACAAACACATGAATGCAAAGACTGAAACAACTTTCAAGAAACAATGTTTATCTTTACTTGATATACTATACTTTTATTTTTTTTTTATTTTTTTTAATTTATTTATTTATTAAGGATTTCTGCCTCCTCCCCGCCACCGCCTCCCATTTCCCTCCCCCTCCCCCGATCAAGTTCCCCTCCCTCATCTGCTCGAAGAGCAATCAGGGTTCCCTGACCTGTGGGAAGTCCAAGGACCACCCACCTCTATCCAGGTCTAGTAAGGTGAGCATCCAAACTGCCTAGGCTCCCACAAAGCCAGTACGTGCAGTAGGATCAAAAACCCACTGCCATTGTTCTTGAGTTCTCAGTATTCCTCATTCTCCGCTATCTTCAGCTAGTCCGGATTTATCCCATGCTTTTTCAGACCCAGGCCAGCTGGCCTTGGTGAGTTCCCGATAGAACATCCCCATTGTCTCAGTGTGTGGGTGCACCCCTCGCGGTCCTGAGTTCCTTGCTCGTGCTCCCTCTCCTTCTGCTCCTGATTTGGACCTTGAGATATACTTTTATTTTCTATTCAACTCTATTTTACTTAATTTCAAGTGTCACTAAAAATGTTGATCCATATCCACTAAACTGATATCATGCAAACCATCATCAAAAACATACCCATAGGAGCCTAACCTATGTTACTGGTAATAAAGATAGTAGCTATTTTAATTCTAGCTGATAACTGTTCTATACACCACAATAAAAAGAGGCTATATAAACTGTGTAAAAAACACTTCTAATTCAAAAACAAAGATATGGAAGTGCATTTACATACACACATTTATATATACTCATATATAGATGCTATGTACACAAAATAATGGGCATCATGGAAAGTGTAATGTCGTTGTATTAATTTAGTGTTAAAGTGGTTAATACTTTAACTTTTCCACTTCTAAATTCTTTTCTAGAGTTAAGAATCTCAACATTTTTCACCTAGATCAAACAGGTCCCCTAAAGCAGAGCTTACCAAGTGTTCAGCTAGATATAATTCCCAAACTTCAGAGTAACTGGTTAGTCTGAAGCAACCAAACATATCAAACTTGAAAAATGAAGTCAGATATTCCTTCAGAGTCATTCTGACCAATCTGAAAGAATTTGCAACTTGAATCAATTTAAAGTAGAGGAGAAAATAGGACAAAGGTGAGTATCAATCATCAATTAAGGCCAGCAATTGGTGAGATTCTAGACAATATTCCATACTGTCGGGCCTAAAGCAGACTCTACATCTTTTATATCCTTTGGCCCAGTGTGTGACAGGATCCCAAAATCTAGGAGAAAAGTTTGCAATACAAATACACAAGAATGAAGAAACATGAAAAAAGAATAATCAAGATTATGATAGAAGCTGTGAGGGCTGAGTGAGGACAAACTGCACATTAGCAACAAATCAAAAAATTTGTTACATCTAAAATAGGGAAAGCAACTAAAAAGAAGACAGAATTATTCAATGATGCTGGCAACACCATGTTTCTTAAGACAGATAAATTCTATCATAGAATCATAGAAACCTTAGGATAAAATGTGTTTGAGACTGCAAAATGTTGGAAACTTTTATATAAGTAATGATATTTTATATAACATATTACATTCTAAATATGTTATATAATATCCCACAGCTGGAAACAGTATAGCTCCTATATTCAAACATGAATATTTATGTAGTTAAACACAAAAATTTACATTAAGGTGCACAATTTAATGGTTTCATGTCCAATTTTAAATCATATTTTGCAGGCAAATGATTTTTTTAACTACTGCAGTTTTAGACTATATTTTGTATCTTACAACTTGTTTAGCCATTCAATAAAATTTTTTTCAGCAATATATTCTTTGAGATGAATTTTATACTCACAGCAATGTTAACCATGCAGAAAACAAAATCCTATTAGGGACTCTAATTAGGATTCCAAAAAGAAAAACAAAAGCATAAAGACTAGAGAGAAGAAAATAAATATATATTACTGATATAACAGATAGGTTTTTGCAGAAAATTCAAAAATCTAAACTGTTTAAATAAGAGAAATTTAGGAGAAAAGTCTTTGGATCAACAAGTAAAGTCACCTGTCTAAGAAAAGGGACTTCTGTGACCAGCTTCCTTCCTGAACATGAATCTTCACCCTGTAGGCAACACTCCACAGGACTTTCAAGTAAGTAGAGCTGTGCTTTAACTCCTGGGAGGTGGCTTTCATCCAGCAGAGAAGCTGGTGGCTTCAAGAGCAATCTCTTGACAGAATCAGTCACTGATCACTTGTGGGTATCCAAATTAAACTAACTTTAAAAAATATTCCTTAGAGCCAAAAAGCCATAATCTTATTTATGTGGGTTTTAGTATAAATTCCTTTCCTTATTTCATAAAAATCTTTACTACACCCCAGGTAACAGTGAGACACACCCTTAATCCCAGCACTTGGGAATTAGAGGAAGAAGGATCATAAGTTTGAGACCAGTTTGAGATACATAGGTTTGACATACCTACCTCAATAATCATCATCATCATCTTAGGAGAAGTCAAGAAATGAAAGTAAAGAAATGCAGAGCCAGATGAATGGAACCTAAAATGTTTTGTTTGGGTTTGGTTGTTTTGGTTTGGTTTGGTTGTTTTGTTTGTTTGTTTGGTTGGTTGGTTGGTTGGTTGCTTGGTTGGTTGCCTGGCTGGTTTTTTTGAGACAGGGTTTCTCTGTGTATCTCTGGCTATCCTGGAACTAGCTCTGTAGACCAGACTGACCTCGAACTCACAGAACTCAGCCTGCCTCTGCTTCCCTGAGTGCTGGATTAAAACATGCACCACCACTGCCTGGCACCTAAAGTTTTATACCTAAGAATGCTGAACTGTGTTCTCTTAAATCTAACCAAAGAAAGCTATGCAGACTTTTAAACCAAGAAAATAATGTGGTCATATCCAATTGTCCATATACTTTGTTTAATGTGATCACTTCATACCAAACTTTGTGGTTTTAGTCAGGTTGTCCATGTATCTCACCTCAGTTCTACATTTGGAAAGAGGGAGCTAGCAAGGCAGTGGTAATGCACGCCTTTAATTCAGGAGGCAGGGGCAGGCGGATCTCTGTGAGTTCGAGGTCAACCTGGTCTACAGAGCTAGTTCCAGGACAGGCTCCAAAGCTACAGAGAAACCCTGTCTTGAAAAAACAAAAAAGAAAAGAGAAAGAAAGGAAAGGAAAGGGGAAGGGGAAGGGAAGGGGAAGGAGAAGGGTTCGGGAAGGGAAGGGAAGGGAAAGGGAAAGGGAAAGGAAAGGAAAAAGGAAAGGGGAAAGGAAAGGGAACGTGTCATACAGCATGGCCCCTACTCTTTCAATCAGAACTAATCAGAACCCCAGGAGGACAGAGGAGCAAAAGTCCAGCAGCATCTCCTTACTTTGAGTTTCTGGGCTTCCCCTCGTACTTTCAGGAGTTCAGTAATAGAGTCCACAAAGCCTTGGTAGTGAAAGTTGCACATTTTCTCAATTTCTCGGTCATGATTGCGGATGCGAGTTTCTAGCTTCTCCATGAATCGTCCATGTTCCTCACCATCATAAACAGACCTTTAAAGAGAAAATGGCATGAGGATTACAGCACTTCAGAGAAGAGAACTACAAACCCAGAAGAAACTTCTACAGAAACTAGATAACCAGAATACATAAATTAACAACTGCATCCATTTGTCCCCATGGTAAATGAGTCGTTGTTTTGTTTTGAGAAAATAAGAAATAAATAACTAAATAAAAAATCCACCTAAAAACATTTGACACACACCATAGGACGGTCATAACCAAGTAAAAGACTTCAATTACAGCTCCTGTCCCTTTCTCCATTTAGCTCATTTAGAAAAACTCAATCTCAGTAAATTTAACTATCCATTACCCCATGATCCACCCAAGAAGCTGAAGATTACTAAAAAATCACACAGGCTGGCTACATTCAGTATAACTACATAGCTACAATCTAAGAGTCGTTCAACACCACTACAAAATCCTTGGAATATCCCTTGTCCAAAATCCTTGAAAACAGAAATGTTTCTGATTGGAGGGATTAGGGAAATATTTGTATGAGTTATATAGCATATAAAACTCAAATATGAACAATGCATATATTTTCATATACAATTTACAGCCTGAAGATAAACCTATGAAATGTCTTAGTGAATTAGTGTTTTGACTATAACAGGCCACACACAAGGCTAACCTGGCATTTTCAACTAATGACAGCTGTCATATATTTCTTATGAGCATTTCATACTTGAGATTTGTTTGTTTGTTTTGGTTTTGTTTTGTTTTTCGAGACAGGGTTTCTCTGTAGTTTTGAAGCCTGTCCTGGAACTAGCTCTTGTAGCCCCGCTGGCCTCAAACTCACAGAGATCCGCCTGCCTCTGCCTCCCGAGTGCTGGGATTAAAGGCGTGCGCCACCACCACCAGGCTTCATACTTGAGATTTTTAAATTAGGAATGATAAACCCAAGTAATGATTAACACCTCAAAAAAACATCACTTTGTAGTCTTCAAAATCTCAGTGTAGGAATCTCACTTCCTCCTGCCTCAATGTTCACTCCTCCCACTCAGCTACTGCTCTAACTATACACTTCTCAGAAAGGAAGGAGGGGCATACCCTTAACCATTTCCTAGTCCCTTATGAAAATCAGCCAATCTGCTTACATCTGTACCTCCTCTTCTAGCAGCTAACTTTGCTAGTTCTAGGCCAGCCTGGGTCTACAGAGTGAGTTCTAGGACCTGCCTAGAAACCCTGTCTTGAAAAAAACAAACAAACTTCTTCTATTCTACATCATTTATTTTTCACTCGCCACCAGATTATTCTCATATCTGTATAAAGGTCACTGAAAAGCTTGCCTGAACTACACATCTCCTCCCAGTTACCATCAGGTTATTCTGCTCTCCATCCCAATGAAACACCTTTCCCCTTCTGCACCTCCCACTTTATCAAGTATTCCTTTACTCCTTTAATAGCAGCATCTGCTGAGGCTTGGCACTCACTCCTTCACTATGCACTCTCTTCTGGAGATGTAAGCAGTAACCACACTAGCGTGGATTTACCTTTTCACTAGCACACCTGCTCAATCTCCCTTCTAGAGCCTCCTTCTCTATCATACTTCTCTATGCTCTCTCACCAAACAATCTATGGCTCAGAAATACCACTCATATAGAACTGACTTCCTAATCTATAACCTACAAACCAAAGCACTACCCTGAGTTTTACTACAAACCAAAGTACTACTAAACTCAATTTTCCTTACTACTCCACTACTCTAATTGGATTGTTAAAAGCCATCCAAATGTAGTGAAGACAAAAGAATATTTATCAACCCATCTCCATTTCCAAACCGATTTCCTCCAACACCCCCAACACACACACACACACACACACACACACACACACACACACACACACCACTACAATTAATGACACTTATTCAGTTACATAAGCCAAGTATCTACAATCATTTCTCATCTGGCTGTCCAACCTCTCCCCATCAAACTTACTAAATCATGACAACTCAACCTACAAAAGATGTTTTAGAATTGAACACATCCAGCATTTCTATTTAAATCCTTGTCCAGTGTATGATTTAGCCACACCAGAGTAATTCAACAAACTCCAAAATCTCATCACGCATTCCCCACCCCCATCCACACCAAGTACTTACTCCACGGAGCAGTTTAAAAAATCTCTTTAAGCCAGGCGGTGGTGGCCCACGCCTTTAATCCCAGGCAGAGGCAGGCGGATCTCTGTGAATTCAAGGCCAGGCTGGTCTACAAGAGTTAGTTCCAGGACAGGCTCCAAAGTTACAGAGAGACCCTGTTTTGAAAAACAAAAACAAACAACAACAACAAAAAAAACTCCTTAAAGCAGTACCCCAGACATTACACCATTATTCCAGCTTAAATTTCTCCAAAGGTTTCCGTATTAGTCAAGGTTCTCTAGAGGAAAAGAATTTATAGAATGCCTTTAATCCCAGCATTTGGGAGGCAGAGGCAGGCGGATCTCTGTGAGTTCGAGACCAGCCTGGTTTACAAGAGCTAGTTCCAGGACAGGCTCCAAAACTACATAGAAACCCTGCCTCGAAAAACCAAAAAAAAAAAAAAAAAAAAAGAAGAAGAATTTATAGAATGAAGAGAAAGAGAGGAAAAATAAATATATATGGAATTTATTATATTATACATATTATAATTATAGTATATTATATATGGAATTTATTATAATGGCTTACAGGCTGTGGTCCAGCTAATCCAATATTTTGGCTGCCTATGAATGGAAGGTCCAAGACTGGATGTTTCAGAAGGTCTTCAAGATATGACTTTAATGCCAGTAAAGAAATGGGCTTACAGTGAGAGCAAGAGCAAACAGGAAGAGAGAGCTTGCTTCCTTCTTCCACATCCTTTATATGGGCTGCCAGCAGAACTGTGGCAGATTTAAGGCCCAGATTAAAGGTGTATCATCCCAGCTCAAAGATCTGTATTAGAAGTGGGTCTTCCCACTTAAAATGATTTAATTAAGAAAAATTTCCTCAACAGGTATGGTAGCATGCACCGTTAATGCCAGCACTCAGGGAGGCAGAGGCAGACAAATCTGTGTGAATTCAAGGTTGGCCTGGTCTACAGAGTAAGTTCAAAGACAGCCAAGTCTAAACAGTGGAAACCCTGTCCAAAAAAAAAAAAAAAAAAAAAAAAAAAAAACTGAAAGGAAGAGAGGGAGGGAGGGAGGGAAAAGAAAGGAGAAAAATATCCCTCACAGGTGTGCCCAGCCATTTGAGTTATAGTGTAGCCATCACAGCTTCCTTTTACAAAGAAAAGAAAGTCTGAATCCTTATCATGGGTATGACCCCACATAAGCCACATTTTCCCTCCAGTCCCCATTCTTGACCTACCTCTCCACTGTCTATGCTACAGTTACAATGACAGTTTTTAAAGGTTGATTTTATTTTATGTGTATGAGTACTTTGCCTAAGTGTGTGTGTGTGTGTGTGTGTGTGTGTGTACCTTTGCATACCTGTGAATAGTTGTGAATCACCACATGGGTTCAGGGAACCAAACCAAGGTAGTCTGCAAGAACACTAAGTGCTCTTACCTGCTGAGCCACCCGTCCAGCCCTCCGGCAATGACTTTATTTTTTAATTGATTTTTATTGAGCTCTACATTTTTCTCTGCTCCCCTCCCTGCCTCTCCCCTCCCTCCTTCAACCCTCCCCAAGGTCCCCATGCTCTCAATTTACTCAGGAGATCTTGTCAATTTCTACTTTCTACTTCCCATGTAGATTAGATCTATGTAAGTTTTTCTTAGTGTCCTCATTGTTGCCTAAGTTCTCTGGGATTGTGGTTTGTAGGCTAGCTTTCTTTGCTTTATGTTTAAAAACCACCTATGAGTGAGTTCATGTGATAATTGTCTTTCTGGGTCTTGGTTACCTCACTCAAAATAATGTTTTCTAGCTCCATCCATTTTCCTGCAAAATTCAAGATGTCATTATTTTTTTCTGCTGTGTAGTACTCCATCTACCACTGATTTTCAGTAAGTTTCTAGCTTATTTTTTCCTTTCAAAGAAAGGGAAGGAATCTTCTAAGTAAAGAACTCATATTCCTTGTTATGTGGAAAACTGGAATGTGGGTTGTGGGGTCGATGAAAAATCCTCAAACTTAAAGACATAGGCTGGTATTAGTCATTTTTTTTTAATTTTTGGCTTCAATCTGAGTATACTCTGTCTCAGTAATAACTTCTACGGTAGGTTATACCAGGAAGCATTTTCATTCATTCTATCCAAAGATAAATGAAAAACGTGAGTGGGGAAAAATCCCAACGTTCAGAAATTCAGGACCAGGTATAGTAATAGTTGAACACAATTTTAGCAATTGGGAAGTGGAGGCAGGAGGATGACAAACCCAAGGCAAGCCAAACTAAATAGTGTGAGGTCACCCTAAACTATGTAAGGCCTACTCAAAAAAAGAAGAAGGAGAAGAAGGAGAGGAAGAGGAAGAAGAAAATGAAAGAAATTTAGAACTTAAATTTATTTAGATAAATAATGTCTTCCCGGATTTCCTATTAAAAATCAAAGTAAGAAAATATGGATTTTAGCTGATTGTGAGGCTTTGGTCTTGGCACTGTAGTAAGTTACATCTTACGCCAATTCAATTAATCTCTGACCTTTAAAATGTTCTCATTTACAGAATAGGAAACAGCAATCAATTACAATTTCCCTGAAGTACAAGCCGAGCATTAAGCTTTCCAATTCGGGCGCATAATGAGAAAGAGCAAACATTTTGAGAACAGTCAGCAGGTAATAGTTTTAATCTCCTTATTAGTGTCACAGAGTTCCTATTTAGATCTTCAGAATTAACACTCTCTTCAAGTATGATGTTGACTGACTTTAAAGGTTTACAGTGAACCCTCAGAATAAAAAATTTAAAAATTAAAATAAGAATTGTTTGGGGCGTGGTACCCAGGCCTGTAATCCTAGCTAGCATTCTGGAAGATGGGGCAGGAGCCTCAGCAACACAGTGATTAGTACCAAGCCAGCAGGGCGCTATCTCAAAAACACAGTAG